AGAGCCAAAGAAGTACTGTGTTGACATCCTGGTTCTGTTTCTGCCTCATTGTGTAATTTGGGGGAAATTAGCTTCTTTATCCTGCTGAGCCTTAGTTTCCTTATTCACAAAAGAAAAACCCAGAAACTGTCTCATATAAGATCTGTGGAATGCTTAAAGAGCATAAGTCATACAAAATGCTCAGTTGAAAGGTCAGAGAATCTTTTCTTGTGTGTTGGTCCTACCAACATTTCAGCTAATTTGAGAATAATGATGAAAGGAGAAAAATCTCAGAGATTATTAAATTTTTAAAACAACTGTGGCTTTCTTAGCTCCGCTGCTTCTTCTTGGAAGAAAAATATTTGCTTTCACATGGTGGATTTAGGTGCCATGGAAACAAGAATTGATAAAACTTCAAGTAAATAGAAAGCAAGCAGCTGAGCCTGAGTTTTTCTTGAAAATATTACCTTAAATTTTTGATCAGACCAACATTTCCATGTGATTTGGGGGGTAGAGAGATAGCTCAGTGGTCAAGAACACGATGATCTTGCAGAGGACCTGGGTTTGGTTCTTGGCACCCACATGGAGCTCACAGCCATTTATCACTCCAGTTCTAGAGGATCAAATTCTTTCTCCTGGTCTGTAAAGGCACCATACACAGGCCAAACACTCATAACACATAAAAGCAAAATAAATATTTCAACGTGGTTTTAAAGGACATCTAGGAATATATTACTGTATTATCAGGTCAAAAAATTCTGAATACTGAATATTGCAAACAAGTAACGTACTCTGCATTTCCTCCAGTTTTTGGACATATGAAAGAAATACAAGTTGGTTTAAATGATGAAAAAGCAAATGGTAAGTGTAATGAGGGCTTTAATGATTAGCCTTCATTTTTATCTTTGCTAAAGGAGTGAAAACAATCATTTGTTTCATACCTCAGGGGACGAGAAACTACAGAATAGTTCCAGAATTTGAGGGGGACACTATTTTTTCTGTCTTATTTAGCTTGAAACCGAGTCTCAAGATCTAGCCTAGAACTTGCTATGGATCCCAGGCCTTGTCTTGAACTGACTGCAATCCTCTTGCCCCAGCCTTCTGAATGTTGGGATTGCAGATGTAAGCCAGTGGGCTAGGAGTAGCTGAAAGAACTCAAGATCTCTGCTCTTAAAAATGTTATTTTTTCACTGTGAAAGTATCTTTGCTAGAGACTTTGTTGAATGAAATTAATTATTCTTAGTTGCCAGGAAAAATGTGATTGGTACTAAATATGTTTGCATGTGTTCTTCTAAGGAAGATATATCTATAAAAATGAATGTATTTGCCATGACTTTTGTCTGTTCTGTCAATTAATATCAAATCTGTGTTTTTTTTTTAAAGACACTTAAACTATTTCTGTTTTGCAATGTATTTAAAGATTTAATGTATTCTAATATTTCATGCTATAAAGAAAACACCATGGTCCACTCAAAATAACAAGATCAAAATGTTAATGTACAGAGCTGAGGACCCAAACTGCAGATGAATCCAGTTTTATGGAAACATATAAGCAAATAAAGAAAAGCCACATAGAATTCTATTCCCAATCCATTCTCAGGGTTTTTGGTCTCAGAAGATAGCAAAGAACTAAATTTAAGAGACCAAGAAATTCCTACACAGTTTGTCCAGACTGAAGATTTATGATAGCTGGCAGGGAGCTGAAATAAAATGTTGTGGGCTGTTTTGTAGATTTCATTATTTATGATGAAAGTAATATATTCAAAGGACTGAAAAAAATCAAACAATAAAAGTCTCAACTCATCACCCTAGATTCTTAGCTGTCAACTTCTTGATGTGCATTTATGTAGAAGATTTCAATTTATATACAAAAACATGTGTATCCTTTTTCATTGCACAGTGGTAATATACAATGGGAATTCTGTGTTGTTCTTTGGTTTTGTGTTCAATTTTATTTGACAGAATTTTGCATAGTTTCACAAGTGGAAAAACTTCACCTAAAAAACATTATAGTAATCCAATCTAAGAATGAACATAATCAACAGGGCAAATCGAACAACTTGCAATGGAAAAATCAGTGTATATACAGAATTTTACTTGAAGGACATCCCTAGACTCATTTACTGCAATGAAGGAGATATAGTTATTCCAATATTGGTGATATTTTTACACTGTCATTGTAATTTGTGCAATTAGATTCCTTTCCCTATAATTCCATGTTCAAACACTGGTTGGTTTTGTTTTGGGTGCTGGTACATTTTCTAAAATATGATTTAAAAGATATTTACATAGTATCTAAGTCACATCTTTGAGTCATATTCATCAATATGTTGATAAAAGTTTTTAAAAATACTCTCCTTGGCTCTGTTTGTAGGGTTTTTAAATTAAACTTCATAATGATTTCCTATAAGATTTTTTTTTTGTTTTGTGTTTTAAATTAAAAGACTTGACTTCCCATTATTGATACTCAGTTATCAACCAATAAATGGCCAAAATAAAAATAGTGATGGTGATTATGATAGTGGTAGTAGTGATTGTAGTGGTGGCGCTGCTGGTGCTGGTGGTGGTCATAGAGTTGCTGATGTCACGCTAGAACATCTAGAACTTTCTCTAAATGATGAACTAGGATGCATGTTTCGTGTATCCATTTCTTTCCTTTTTAACTTCCTACCTTGCTATCTCATGTGCCAATTATCTTTTAACTGGCTAAAATAGCCATTATAATATTCTAGAAGTTTTAAAGTATTTTAGTATTTTATCTAAGCAAATTTTAACTGTTAATCTGTCTTCTGTCTCCTGTGATGATCAAACACCTTTTAATGGCTTTTAAAAAAAAAATGTTTATAAAGATTTTTTTGATTGTGCTTATATTTCAGGTTTCATTCAGCTATTCTTGGAAGTTATTCTACATAAACCGGGGTAATCTTATTAAAGCACTTATAAGTAGCACATATCTCAAATCATTTATTTCTTTTATTCAGGAACTATATACACATATGTGTGTTCTGTACATACACAGTTTTTACAACTGAGTAGAATTTGAAATTTTTCTTTCTAATGCTGGGTGTGAATCTCAGCGGTGGAGTCTATGCCCCACTGATATTCTAACTGGTGTGCCTCATTACATTTGAATTTGAATTGGCTACCTGTACCTAAAAAATTAACAAGTTAAACAATTTTGACCAGCTAGTTTTTTTTTTTTGTATTCTCAATATTTGTAAATTTTTCTTTGAAACCACTTGTTTTCCATGTTACAAAATGATGCCACATGTCATAAGTGCTAATTTTTTCTCTTTCTTTGTAAGCTGTATACATCTTAATGATCTAGGTTACTTAAGACACTTGTTAATATGTTAGTGTGAGTCACTCAGTACTAGCGTCTGGAGATCCTCCTCTTATATGTGTCTAGTATGGCAACATGAGGATGGTTACTAAATTTCTTGCAAAGTTTCATTTGGAAATTAAAGCCAACAAAAAATGTGATTTTCTCTCTGATCTCAGGTACTGAAATTTTTTCCTTAATTCTTATCCACTCATCCTGTATTTGAGTGAAAACATGTAATCATTTTTTGTTTGCAGTTACATAAAAGGTAACTTGAATTATTGATATACACACAATTAATTTTGTGTGTAGAACATAGAAAACCAGTATTTGGAGAATACTGGTGTGTGTTACTAACATACTGAGAAGTTATCAGAAATGCTGAATATGAATATGAGAAGTTCTATTTTTATTCATAATCTTCCTATATAGACATTTTTATTAATTATTAATGACATGCCTAAATATATTGTGATTCTTATTTTTAGATTTTGATAACTTGCACTCATCATTAAAAGCCTTTGTATTTGAAATCTTTACAAACAAATGAGCTGAAATCAATAAAATTCTATTCACTTGAGATTTTTGTCAACATCTGGTAGAGTTATTTTCTGAGTAATTAGATGAAGAGGTCCGGCATTTCCTTCATGTAAGCTTGCCCATTCTTGGATAATCAGTTATTTCTGTAGTCAGCAGCTTACAGTCAATGAGCATACTGATTAATAAATGACCAGCAATTATGCTGAGATGCTACTTGATTTCCTGACATTCCACGTGGTTTTTAGAGTCGCCTCTTCTCAGTCAATAGCCTAGTCTAGGTCTTCAGTTACCATCTCTTCAAATGACATAGTTGTAGGGAGGTTGAAATATGTGCTGTTATTTGCTGGTCTGTCCTTGTTTTGGGTTAAGCCAACAGTTAGGCACAAACAGAAATTATCTGCAATTTTGAAAACCTGAATCTGCTTTTTGTATATGGAGGTATCTGTGAAAGATAAGATGTAAAAAATGATTTCCATTTCAGTCATTTTATTTCCTTTTAGTTGGATGTTGGTTAATAATGTCTTCATATCTACAATATATATCTTAAAGTCATAATATTACAGATTTACATCTGAATTTTTACAGTGCTATTTTCCCTACTGGGTATGAAGACACTTAAGCCACAGAAGAAAGATATCTATCTTTATAATTTGAGAGAAATATGAGATATTACATAACTATCTTTAATTTGTAGTTGTGAAATAAAACATCATGAAAGATTCAGTAATAACTATTTTCAAGTACTAAATTAAAATGTTATATAAAGTGATATCCACTCAGTATGTGGATCAATATTGGGCAGTGATGCCAACAAGCACAATGTATTCCCATTTGCACATTTTTCCTGGGTTTTGGGACATATGCCTTTGACTACTATGCAAGTGACATTCAAAGAAATTTGTGAGGATGTTTCACCTTAATTCTATAGGTTCGATATTATGTATCTCATTGAACAGTCTGTAGTGTGGCAACAATAAAGCATTGATTCCTCATGGCTTGCTTTGCATTGCACAGAATGAGATCATTAATTCTTAACCAAACTGATTCAAAGCTTTTTGCCACAGAATGATGACTCCGTTCTCAGCTTCTCTAAATAAAGCTGTCTTACAACAATAGCTCAGTGGAGTAAACACGCCCCGGACCACAATCCCAAACTCACCAGAGTTTTCATCAACTCTCTCATCTACCACGTGGTCCTTCTGATGAACCCACTCGCTGTTGCACTTGAAGTAGATCTGGGTGGCGGGGCTGGCTTTACAATACAGGTTCACAGGCTTGTTCTTCACAATGTATGCTTCCTCCGGCTCAATGAGGAAGTGTGGTAATGGCTCGGGTGGGTCAGATGGAAAGGTTTCTGGGAGTTCATGAAAGAAGTCATCATCTAGTAAAGGAAGAGAAAGTGGAAAATGGTCAAAATATGGCAACTTATCTTTTAGTTGTTAATTTTTTTTAAGAAAATGACTTTTACTGAAAAATGAAGTTCTTGAATGCTTATTCTGTGCAAAGCAATATTTAGAAATATTGACTCTTTGCTTAGCAAATAATTTGGATTGTTATTCTACTTTCTACACATGACAGAGCTCAACCCCGGGAAGAACACATTGTACTGAAAACACAGAGAATCAGTAGCAAACTGGGAAATGAAGACCAGGGTCTTGTTTTCCACAGACGATGCTGTCTTCATAACATATTGTGTGTTTCCCAGTGTACAGCGTTACTATGGAGACCTGAACCAAGGGACTGCAGAGAGGGCTCAGTGGTTAAATGCACTTGTTGCTGTTCCAGAGGACCTGGGTTCAGTTCTCAGCAACCACATGGTGACTAAGAGCCATTCATAACTCCAATTCCCGAGACTCTGATGCCCTCCGAGGCTTCAGATGGACACTTTGCACAATACCCATACCCAAATATAAATAGTGATACAAACAAAATGACTCTGTTAGAAGCACAAGGCTTGTAGTAATAATTAAATTCTTTGCAAAGATCTGAGCAAAGACACTAGAAGGTGGATTAATGTTCTCTATGTACAGATTCAAACTGATCATTTCTAAAGATGCAGTTGATTCTTTCATGCAGTTGAAAATATTCGCCAAGACTTAAACTGTCTAAGCACGAGCAGTGCGAATGAGTGCATCAAGCTCTAGGGTAGCCGTGGTAGCAGAGCTCTCTGGTCTACTCTTGACATTTTACTTCACATGTTACACGGTATTATGTGACTATTAGAAAATTGTTTAAACTCATTATAAACAAATTCATTTTTATAGCTTTTGAAAATTGTCAAAGTGCTATTCCCCACTCTGATATTTCAACATCACTGCATAAGTCTAATCTAAAATCATTGGAAATTCTTGTGTTCATGTCGCCTCCATGTCCTTCTACCGCCACCCCCTTCCACAGGACTTCCCGAGCTCCACCTCCAACACAGTCAACTAACCGAGGCCTATGCAGGCTTATAGAGATGGAAGCACCAACCAAAGAGCATGCATGGACTGGACCAGGCCCCCTATACATATGTAGCCAATGGACAATTTGATCTTCTTGTGGGTCCCCTAGCAAGTTGAGCAGGTGCTGTCTATAATATGAACTCTGTTGAAAGCTTTTTTATCACTACCTCCTAATGGGGCTTCCTTGCCTGACCTCATCAGTGGATGAGGATGAGCTTAGTCCTGATGCAACTTGTTGTGCTGGGGTGGGTTGGCGGGTGGAGGGAGGCTCTCCTTTTCTGAGGAGAAGGGGAAGAGGGATAAGGAAAAAGGAATGGGAAGGTTGGAGTGGGAGGAAGGGAGGAAGGGGGCTATGATCTGGATGTAAAGTGAATATATAAATTAAAATAAAATCATGGAAAGATTTATACACTTTGAAATATTGTTTTTCTTAACTTAGATTCCACATGATTTCAAATTTTAAAAATTATTTGTGTTTGTTTTAATAAAGCCCAATAATATTTTATAAAATGATAACTGTCCTTTTATTATGTTATATGTTATGTCTGAAAATTATATTCCTATGAGGGACAGAAAAGAACAAAATATCATTAATCCATAAATATGCTAATATTGTGTTTTAAAAATTATGGCTCAAAGGTAAAAAAAATGCAGTTTACAAGTTCTCTGAAGGTGCTGTTGTACAGCAGCAGTCCTGGTATGATATTGGTGTTTAGAGATTGGCTGCGCAGATATTACCTTGAAACTCATTCTATTTGCATTCAGTTACTACCCCATTTTTGGGAGCTAGCCATTGGTGAAGTGGACATCTGTCCACTAAGAAATCTGGCCTGTGACTTTTTTCATCTAGGTCATGGGATAGCTTTCAAATAGTAATTACACCCAGTCATTGCCAATCTGTTTTGCAGTATGAATTGGCTTTACTTGAACCACAGACAAAATTAGTCTTTGAAGCAGCTCCACGATAGTCAATTCCTGACATTGGAGAGATGATGTCTGCTCCAGCTAGGCTTTCGTTTGTAGTTCACTTCCTTGATATACTTCCTAATGGCAAGGCATCATTTCTAGGTTTTCCACTGCTGACAAACAAGGACACAAACTGTCAGTGTACTAAAGAATAACCTTGTTTATATCAATTTCAGCTCCACTAGCCAATATGCAAGACCACTCAAGACCGCTCAAAAAAAAAAAAGAGCTAAAAAAGCAAAGGGATAAGGAACTAACTATTGACAGATCCGTCTGTACAAATTTGAGGTCTTAAATGCCTTACCCAATCTTTCTGTCATCTTCAAGAGCACTTCCTTTTATATGTGAGGATGTAGTAGGCTGATAATCAATACAGCTATACAAAATGCCACACACAAATTCCAGTGAAGCATAGCTCTGGTTTCATTATTATTCATGAAAGCAAACAAGATGGTAATTCTAGTATATTTCACTTTTCTTTGGATTGTGTTTGCACACATACAAGCATAAAAATGTAGTTAAAACTACACATTCACTCAAGCATGTAAAGGATAAATGGATGTATGTTCGAGCTATTGTTTTAAGTGAAGCTTGTTCCTTTAAAAGAAATGATTACAAAGTACTAGACAATTACACACATCTATTTATTCAGCATTGTAGCCTGTGTATTTGTATGTTTATAACACATAGAAGGAATTCATAGACACTAAAATTCAGTTATCTCACCTTGCCAAAAACATGCATCTCTTTATTCTCATTATTTTATTACAATTATGGAGAAGATGAATAATAATGGAAGATAAAAAAAATCACATGCATATTTTCAAGCTAAAAGAGGCTCAGTGAAATGTCATTCGGAAAAGTAATGATTTAATAAATATCCAGAACACATATGAGCAAACCAATTGGGCATTACCTTAATTTTGAGTTTTACCATAAAATAATCATTGCAAGTGAAAGAAATTAGCTCGTGTCTTGGTTGGAAGTCTCATAATATTGGTTTGTCAAGTTGCTTGTTAACACTGAAAATGAAATATAATAAGGAGTCATTTCCGTCATAAGAAATAACCTTTTCTTCATGTGATGGAACTTGTATTTCTATTGTATTTCTCATCTCTTAGTGTTCTTCTAGAGAGTTGCCTTAACAAACAACAGTCCATTAGCTTGATATTTTTGATGGTGTCCATATTGTAAATTCCAATTTACAGTCTAAATAAAATCACATTATACATTATGCTTTATTTCTAGTGCTCAGTTCAACTGTAGAAATGACAATTACACAAGAAATTTCAATAGTAGATATGTGTGGTGAAATAAACACAACAACAGGCCGATTCTTAGTAGGCTCATAGACTGTTGTGAAATTTCCACTTCTCCGCTTTCACAAGATGCCTTGTATGCCAAGCCCAACCTCCTAAGCTAGTATAGATAACACCATCTCGATCTCAGTAAACATACTAAGAAAATACTTTCTGATTCTTGCTCCAGATAAAAATTCCAAGAGTCAGTACTCATTTTACAGATAGCACATGTTTTTTTTTAAATAAATTTTATCTTAAAACTTTATCTAAAGCATTTTTTAAATAAACAAACCAGTTCCCCTTGACTAAAGTGATATTCTAACACTCATAGTATCTAAATCTCCAGCATGTGCTATGTCTATGTATATTTAATAAGGATAACAGTCAGCTTCTAACACCTCTGAATCTACATGAACATGTAGCTTCTTTGCCCCTTGCATTTGCTTCTCACAGAAATGGTGAAATCTAACCTCTTACTTTGCCAATCAGTTTTATGCAACCATCAATAACCTTGAAAAGACTAAAAATACTCAACAAATGTTTAACACTAGAATGGAAATAGCATGATGTTGAAGATTATATTATGTTCATGTTCATTTTCATGTTTTCAAAATATTTTAAAGCTTTTATGTGCATACATGTGCGTGCTGGAGTTTATGTACCGTATGTTTGTGCATGCACCTATGGTAGCCAGAGGGTACCATGTCCTCGGAAACTGGAGTTACAGGTGGTTGAGAGATGCCTAATAGGGTTGCTGGGAACACACATAGAACTAGCTGGATAATTCACGTGGCCAAATGCAGAACAGAAATTCAAGGATTCTCGTTAAAATTCATGAAAAATTTTTGGAGAATGAAAGAGGAATATTAAATGAGGCCCTTGTCCCTTGAAACAGCACAGGTCACATTAGCTAAGAATTCAACCCTATCTACTGATGAAGTTAACTGGACATTCTGTTTGACAATGTCTGAACAGACATGACAGTATTTATAGTGGACATTCATGGTGAAACCTAATTGGGATTTTGCACATTTTTAAAAGGTGTATTTGGTAGTTTCTAAAAGACATGGACTTTTAGACTGAGAAACCTAGGCTCTAGTCAATTCCTTGCAATTGAAGAACTATGGTAGTCTGTGCAGTCTTCCCTTGAGAGCTACTCTTGTTCCCATCGACTGTCCTGGCCATCAATAAAAACACCCATGTTATGCAGAGGCCAATCCGTCAAGAAAAATAGGCCGCTTGCAGTCTGAGTGGGTAGACTACTTACTGAGATCTCTTCTTACAACCTTATAGGTTTTACTCTTTTTTTTCCTGTTTCTTAGTTTGTATCAAGAGATTTTTAAAAAATATTTAATTTTACTTTATGTTCATTGGTGTTTTGACAGTATCTGTCTGCGTGAGGGTGTCAGATCCCCTGGTACTGGAGTTACAGATAGTTGTGAGCTGACATGTGGGTGCTGGGAATTGAACTCAAGTCTTCAGGAAGAGCAGCCAGTGCTCTTAACCACAGAGTCATCTCTTATTTTCCCATTATTCACTTTATTATTCCGTTTGCGGTCCCCCCTCCTCTTCTCCGAGTCCACCTCCCCTCACACACTCCTGCTCCCCAGGCTCTCCTTTCCTCTTCAGAGAGAAAGGAAGTTCCCCCTTGGGTACCAACCTGCTCTTTC